TGATGGGTGTGATCGGAAGGGTGGTTGTCCCCAAGTTTTTTGGCTGCAAATGGTGATCGATTTTGTGGCTATGGGGGTGCATTATGGGGCGACGTGACTTTGGGATGGTGATTTTTTGGAAGTGGAAGTCTGTGGCGACAGAGATGGGAATATTCTGCCGGTTGGACGACGGTGGTTGATTTTTCCTTTATTTTTTTAATAAAATATGTTTTAATTTTAAAAAAAAATCCACATGTATAATATTTGTTTGATTTGGCACCTAGTTAACACTGTTAATCGCCACCTAGTATTTCCGTCCGCCACGTCAACGCCCAATGAATGGATTTTTTGACGGTGATGAATGGAGAGGTAAATGACAAAGTTGAGTGAGTACTCCAAAGCACAATGAAGTTCGATGAGCAATCTGTGACCATATATAAGTTCAGTGATTATTGAAACATATAAGTTCAGTGATTATTGAAACAATTCACTCCCCACTCAAGTGACCAAGATGGATTACATAAGTGTTTTGTCTTTAAAAAACACTTTTTTTTTTTCATTATGCAATGTTATTTAAAGTTAGCTTATTTTTACAAAACATATTACTTTGTCTAAATATAATTGGCACATCACGAAAATGACACTACTATTTTAATTGGGTAAGTATCAATTTATACACGGTTACAATTTCTTTCCAAACACCCTCGCTTGTCTTTGTAAAAAATATTTAAAAACATGGCGATCGACGATGAGCGGAAGTTGTGGTAGTAAGTCTTCAAGTGCTCTCCTCTCCATTTTCAGGCTAAGAATGATAATTTGGTTTGTCTTGTCATATTTTGTTTTGAGAATATTTTGCAAAGTTAATTTTTTAAATTAAAAAAATTATTTTATTTATGATATTATGGTCAAATTGGTATTTTCATAAATTCACTTTGTAAAGAGTCTGGCTACCTCACCTAATTCTCACTTGGGTTTTCTCCTTTCTCACACTATAAATAAAATCTAAATATGTGTCTAGAGCAGGCGAGAAATAAATAGAGTTTTCATTTGTTGAGGCAGCCAAAAGGCCATGAAGCCACATGCTGTACTAATCCCATTCCATGCACATGGCCACATAGCCCCAATGCTAACATTGGCCAAACTTCTTCACTACATACGATTCTTCATCACCTTCGTCAACACAGAGTTCAATCATGATCGCCTTGTTCGAGCCTGAGGCCCGGACATAATTAAGGNTGTTCGAGCCTGAGGCCCGGACATAGTTAAGGGCCTCGAAGATTTCCAATTCAAAACCACCCCGGATGGCCTGCCACCTTCCAACAATGATGCTACACAAGATATCCCAGCACTTTGTATATCAATTTCGAAACATTGTTTGGCCCCCTTTTTGGAACTCATCAAGAACCTTAATGAATCATCGGATTGTCCGAATGTTAGTTGCATAGTCTCTAATAGGGTCATGAGTTTCAGTTTGGATTCTGTTGAACAACTCAATATTCCTGAAGTTGTGTTTTACACTACAAGTGCTTGTGGCTTCATAGGGTACCTTCACTATGGTAAACTTGTTGCTAGAGGATATGTCCCTCTTAAAGGTGTGATTTATGTATAAATTATTTATGAACGTATTTTTTAGCAATATTTGAAATGTTTATAAGATTTGATTTGGACAGATGAAAGTTGCTTTACAAATGGATATTTAGAGGCAGAGATTGATTCGACACCGGGGATGAAAGGCATTCGACTTAAGGACATTCCATCATTTATTCGAACCACTGATCTGAATGATATCATGTTGAATTACAACATCGTGCAGCACGAAAATGCATCAAGGGCTAAGGCCATCCTTTTCAATACATATGACGAATTGGAAGAAGAAGTTCTTGAAGTAATTTGAGCCAAATACAATCGGGTATACACTATAGGTCCAATCCAGGTGCTCGAAAAAGAAGTTTACAGGCAAAGCCTTAAATCCATTGGATCAAACCTTTGGAAAGAAGACATGGAATGTTTAAATTGGTTTGATCAAAGGGAAAGCAATTCTTGTAACGACCCAACCTCGCACCGGAGCGTTATCATATCATACGTACTGTCTGCTTTAAGGACTAAATGTTATGTTAAATTGAAGAAGATGGGCTTCCATTGCAATTGTCGGTATGAGTGGATTACATATGGCAATTATATAACCAATTACCCAAGTTGTCATTTGATATTCATACATACAAAAATAGAGAACGCGCAGAGAGAAGAAAAATCGAGAAGGAAGGGAAGAAAAGGGAAAAAGAAAGAAAGAAGGAAGAGAAGAAAGAAAAAAAAAAGAGAGAGAAAAGAAGAAGAAACTTGGGTTATCCATTTCTTCAATTTCTCATTTGATTGGAGAGGTAATTACGGGTATGTTGAATTATTATTAT